CAGGCAAAATGCATTGCAACCTGTTTGACACAGTCTTTGATGCAATTTGGTAAACCACGTTACATAGGTTGATCAGCCAGAATTGTCCAAGTTCCTCTGGTATCATTAATCAAGGCCGGATCATGCTCACCGTTCAAAACCCGTAGCACCACCGTAGCCACTTCCTCCCCACGGTTATTCCAATGGTGCTAGAAAAAATGTGCCGGGAATCCATCAGGTCCTGGTGCCGTGGTCGGAAACATCTAAAACAATGCAGACTTAATTTCATCAGTGCTAAAAGGTTTAAGGAGCGCATCATTCATATCCCCGGTGACTTTAACAGGCACCGTATTCAGCAACTAATCCATATCTTCTGTCCCCTCCAACGTGTACAAATTCCTATAGAACGTCGTCGTGAGGGTAGCCATCTCCTCCTCAACCTCAGCGAAGCTTCCATCGTCCTTTTTTAACTTGCTAATTCGGTTTCGCTTCTTCCGTTGGTTGGCTCTCAAATGAAAGAACTTTCTGTTCCTATGGCCTTCAGTAAGCCAAGTGATCTATGAGTGCTGTTTCACATGATCTCTTCTCTATAATTTAGCTCCATGATCCTGTCCACTATCTTGATCTCCTCATGGGAAGGACCTGTCCGCATGGGTTCAGAGCGAAGGTGCTCGAGCTTTGCGTTCAATTTCTTGAGCTCCCGCGTCACACTGCCAAAAGATTGTCTATCCCAGCCCCTCAAGAAATTCGACACAGCCCCAAGCTTCCTATGCAAACCCTCCATAGTCGTTGCACGCGGCTGATTCTCCCAAGCTTGTGCAAGCACACCCCGAAAATCCGCATGTCTCTCCCAAATTAGCTCATACCGGAATCCCATCAAAGTTCAATCGGACCATGATCCGATGCCGCCGATGTAGTAAGGTGACGTACATGCGCCAGCAGAAACCGAGCGCTCCAGTCAGCACACGCCAGCGCCCGATCCAGCCGAACACAGCAGTAAGAGCCACCAACTACCTTCTTCTCATAAGTCTGTCTGCGTCCTTCAAACCCAAAGTCCACCGGTCCGCAGACATCCACCATCTCTCGAAAACCAGCGATCTGGCTATGGCTTCGCTCCTGCACTCCATCATGTTCCGACTGGAGGAGTACTTAATTGAAATGACTGATGCACGACCATGGAAGATAAGAAGCCTTGATGAACTTCAACATCTCCCATGTCTTGTGGCGTTCCGCATCCTGCGCCTCACCATAGACACACGTCAAACGCCATGTCTCACCCCCATTCTCTGTAATGATAGTATCAATGTGATACTGAGAGTACGGTAACAATTCAACCCTGATATTATTTTTCCAAAAAATGCCAAGGGCACCACTGCGCCCTGAACTACCACTACTAAAGGAATTTTATTGGAGGCGGGCAAAATAGATTAACCGAGGCGGGCATCCCATCCGCCTCGGTCAAAAGGTCACGGTAAATCAAACCTTAACCGAGGCGGTCCAAATGCCTGCCTCGATTAATCACATAAAAAACAAAAAAAACAAAAAAAAGCCCGCAGCCTAACCCTAACTGGGCCTAGATCTGGGCTTCCCGTGCGCCACCGTCGTCGGATCCGCCCTCGCCGGGGCCAAATCCGGCCTCCCCGTGCGCCGACCAAGCTCGAGGGAGAGGGAGCGCCACCGCCGCAGGATCTGCCTGCGCCGGGGCCGGATCCGGTCTCCCCATGCGCCACCGTCGCTAGATCGCACTACGCCGGGGCTGGATCCAGCCTCCCCGTGCGCCAAAATAGCTCGAGGGGGAGGGAGCGCCACCGTCACCAGATCCGGCTGCTCCACCACCAGATCCGCTCGCCGCTCCACCACCGGCACCGTCGCGGAGGAGATCGAAGGGCGTGGGGATGAGGAACGCCGTAACGGAGGAGGGGCGAGGCCGGGCAGCTGCGCCCACGAGACCGCGCCGCCGGGACGCCGCGTCCGCGTGGCCGCCGCACCCGCGAGCTCCTCCGCCCGGCCTCCAGATCCGCTTGGGTGAGGGAGACGGAGAGGGAGTGGGAGGCACGGGAGAGGGAGGGAGAGGGAAAGGGAGGGAGAGACGCCGCTGAGAAGGAGTGGGATAGGCGCCGCTGAGAGGGAGAGGCGCCGCTCGGGGCTTGGGCGCTGTGTGAGAGAGAGAGATGAGTGAAGGAGTGGGCTAGGGTTTCATCTCGTATATATATACTATAACGTTGCTGTTGGGCCAAGATGGGCTGAGATGGAGAGGGAGTAGGCTCGGGAATATTAACCGAGGCGGACCTTCCAAAAATGAGGGTATTTTTTGAGGCGGGCCTCATATAAGGCCTCCGTAAATCGATTTTGCGAGGCGGTTGATTGTAACCGCCTCGGTTAATAAAAAATGACCGCCTCGGTTAATCCCAAGCATTAACCGAGGCGGTTCAAATACCTACCCTCCTCCAAGCCCCTTTGCAAGACCCCTCGGTTAAGTTTTATTGTAGTGGTGTACTTACGGCGAAAGCATTATCGAAACCTAGGGTACCTTTCAAACCTTCCACGCATGCTCGATCAACTTGTGTTTCCACTACGTAGAGCATGGTAGGGGCAACTTTCTTCACGAGCTCGCGAGGCTCCCTCACTGTCGCAGCGTTGCCCAAACCGCGGCAGTTCTAGCTGAGGCAACTCATTACGTTAGGCGGGCTCCCTCCTTAGAATCAGCCGAAGAAAGAACTGCACTGTTGCTACCTTGCACTTTGCCTTCTTCTTCTCATCCTACACCTTCGTCCTCGAAGCTTCCGCTATCGCCGTCAAAATTGGCTTCTCCAAGTCCCAAACCCACGTCCCGTCCCACCAAGGCCGGGCAACTGCGCACAGGGCCCTTATAAGCCCGAGCGGGAGAGAGACAGGAGGGTTGCGTAGGGGGAGCCGACGTCAAAATCCTCTGCCGCCGCAGCGTCGCCGGCGGAGTCACCCAGCCCGCCTCGTGCGGTCGTACGATCCGATCTGCTTGCACCAAGTTACTACACAGGGGCGGGTGGAATAGATAGCGGCCCATGTAAGCTCACGACGCCAGGACACCGCGCGTCGGATCGCGACGTCGCCGTCGTTGTCGTCGCTCCCTGGGCTGCCAGTTCCCGATCCCTTGAGCTACATGAGCGAGTACTGCACGACGAGGTCACCAAGGGGCGGCCGCAATGTGCTGCAGCTGCAGGTTGCCGGTTTGTGAATTGTGATACGCGAGCACCGCCGCCGGCCTGGCACGCGGCAACCACCGCCTCCGGCAAGGAACGCGACCGACTCACGGCCACCACCGCTGCCGCCGCCACGTCTTGCTGCGAAGCCACGACGGGCTCTGGCCTCGGCCATCGCAAGCCGTAGTCGAGCCAGCACCACCGCGGCGTGCACTAGGCCCGCGCCAGCACCACGGAACTCTAGCCTGCGACGCCCGCATGTGCAGTTGCGCTGGCTGCAGCTGCCGCACACCCGTCGCCGCCCGCCTACGCAACCGCAGCACCGCGCTTGCCACCCCGCTCACCGCGTGCGTAGTCATGACCCATGCCGACCACCCACTCGCCGCACGTGACGGACGTCGCCCATGCGTTTTTGGGAGGTAACGAGAAGCTGACCAGATGGGTCTCACCCAACTAGGACCATTTTGTGCTGAAATCCTGAAACCCAACCAAAATCACTGCCGGTAGACTCGATTCAGGAGGTGCCTGTCCCCGCTATAAACATGTGCGCTTTGAAAATCAGACGTCGCTTGATTTTGTTGCTTGTCTTAGGCCCGTTCGCTTCGCTAAAAAAACAAACCGAAATACTGTTCCGGCTGATTTGTTGGAAGAGAAAAACACTGTTCCGACTGAAGAAAAAAAACAAGCTAAAAAGTACATATTACATTATAAGACAAGCGAACAGAGCCTATCGATGGAAGGATGGATTATCGATGGAAGCAATGGCGACATGGCCGCTTACCATTATCATCGATACAAGGTAAGCATCATTACAAACATACAGACATTTTTATCAATGCTCATGCATTTTTTTTAACCCTGCATAAATCAGTAAGATGAAGAGGCCGGCAGTACCCTCCAAAAAATAGAATCTCATTCAAAGTCACACTGGCAGGAGGACATAGAAATGATGCATTCGCTTGGCCTCGACTCCTACAGATTCTCATTGTCCTGGTCGAGAATGCTTCCAAGTGAGCTCATTCTCAGAATCTCTCCCAGCTCGACAACACACACGGAATCCTTCCTTAGTACCAGTGTTTAACAAAAAATATATGCTTATACCTTTCAAATATCCCTGGTCAGAGGGTCGCTTCGGAGGTGTTAATCTGGAAGGCGTTAAATTCTACAACGGCCAGCTAGGAAAAGGTATGCATTCTTTGTTCTGTTATTATATATGTGGCCAGCTACCTCCCTCCACAAATGCCACCCTGCAAAACACGAAAGCCTTTCAGTTCAGTCTCTTTCATCTGGGCCTGGCATTTGATACGCTTGGAGCAGGGATACAGCCATTTGTGATGATCAACCACTATGACATACCCCAGGAACTCCAAGAATGATATGGCTCCTAGTTGAGCCCAGAGATTCAGTAAGCCCATATTATAGCTTTATCTACGAAGATGCAGTAAGCTCATATGTGGTTGTTTCTGCATTTCTGTTCAGGGAGGACTTCACCTACTTTGCTGAGCTTTGCTTCAAGATGTTTGGTGACCGAGTAAAGCACTGGGTTAGATTCAATGAGCCAAATATTATGGTAAAGTTCGCATACTTCGTCAGGGTATTTCCACCCAACCACTGTTCCGAGCCATATGGGAAATGCGATTCTGGGAATTCATCAACTGAGCCCTACATTGCAGCGCATAACATGATATTAGCTCATGCAAAGACGGTCAACATCTACAGAAATAATTACGAGGTACAACAGACACATTTGGATCAAAAGGGAGTGGGGACTAACCATGTGCTTGCTCTTAAATCTTCATGGAAATTGTATAAGTCGTTTTCCATGTTCTCCATCCTTCTCAGGCCAAGCAAGGTGGCTCTGTTGGAATTTCACTACATATGAAATGGTATGAACCACTGAGGAAAATCACAGAGGACCACTTGGCAATAAGCCGAGCTCGGTCTTTCGAAGATCAATGGTATCCGTTGACTTAGTAACCTTCCATCATACTAGTATTTTACTATTGGAACTGACTTTTTGGTCTTTAAGATTGAATGCTCACTTGATGATATATGCGAAAACAGGTTCCTGGATCCCTTGTTCTTTGGTGACTATCCACACCAAATGCGCCAAATCTTAGGTCCAAACTTACCGAAATTCACAGAAGGAGAGAAGCAACTACTGAAAAACCAAATTGACTTCATCGGAGTAAATCACTACGAAACATTCTACGTCAAGGATTGCATATATTCTCTGTGTGACTTGGACCTCTACACTTGTGAAGCTATAGTTTCTGAATCATCAGAACGAAATGGGATACCCATTGGAAAACCGGTAAAAGTCTGCATTGTACATTGCATTATTCTATTCATCAAGAATCCTATTTCAAAATTGATTTTGCACAACCTACCACTGCTAAATTAATATCACAGACACCAGCAAACAGCTATGTGGTTCCTGTAAAGTAATCTGCTGGTCTCCCCCTGTACGTGCGGCAGGGGCAGGCGCCGAAAGGGCTCCTCTGCTGCTGCACTGTAGGCGCAGCAGGCGCAGGCGCCGAAAGGCTCCCCTGCCGCACTGAAGCCACAGCAGGGGCAGGCGCCAAAGTCAGCCCAGTTGTTACATCTAGTCACTGTAGCAGCATGACAGCCTGGCATGTCTGTGTAATATGATTAGATGGGTAGAGTTGTATATATAGCTTCCCACTGCAACTCAGTGAAGAGCAGTTTAGTTTGCCACATCCAGAACAGAGCTTTCGGCCAGCGCTGGGCTTGTGCTGTGTGTGTGAGCTATCCTCAATATCTTCTTCTACCTCTAGCCATAGTGAGTGAGTGTGCTGGTAAGCTTACTGCTTACCTGTGCAGGGTAGCCGAGGGACCAACAAGTGGTATCAAAGCCGTACAAGCGCCGTCGCCGGACTAACCGCTGGCAATGACGGACGGTTCGGAGATGAGCGACAGCAGCGACGCTGCTGTGGCTGCCCAGCCACGACAGGAGGTCGTCGTGCGCACGGTGCGGGAGATGAACGGCACTAGTTGACCGACGCTGACTCGCACCAACTATGGCGAGTGGGCGGTGACCATGAAGGTCAAGCTCAGAGCCCGACGGCTCTATAATGCCATTGACAAGGGCACCGACAACGAAGAAGACGACATGTTAGCGTTGGAGGCTATCCTCGCTGCTGTGCCAGCGGAGTACAGGCAGCCGTTGGGGGCGAATAACTCTGCTAAGGAGGCGTGGGAGGCCATTACAGCGATGAGTGTCGGCTCTGACCGCGCAAAGAAGGCGACGGCCTAGCTACTGAAGCAGGAGTACGTCAACCTCAAGTTCAAGCATGGTGAGTTGGTGGAGGACTTCTCCCTCCGCCTACAGTCGCTCATCAGCAAGCTGAGGAGTCACGACGTCACCATCGACGAAGAAGAGGCGGTCTCCAAGTACTTCCACTCCGTGCTGGTGAAGTACATCCAGATCGCTCTCTCCATAGAGACGATGCTGGACTTGTCCACCCTCACCATTGAAGATATGACAGGCCGTCTGCGGACGGTGGACAAGCGCATGGAGCAGGCCACAGCAACGACGGAGAGCGGCAAGCTACTCCTGACAGAAGAGGAGTGGGCTGCCCGGATGAAGGAGAAGAAGTTCGGGGAAGCCTCCTCCAGCCGCGGTGGCGATGGCAAGCGCCGCTCAAGGCTTCTTCGGAGAAGAAGAAGAAGAAGAAGAAGAAGAAGAAGAAGAAGAAGAAGAAGAAGAAGATCGACCCCAACGCCTGCCGGCGCTGCGGGAAGATGGGCCATTGAGCAAAGGAGTACCCAAATCGCAAGCAGGAGAAGAAGGCTGAGGCTCATTTAGCGCAGGCTGATGAGGATGATGAGGCCACTCTCCTGATGGCGATGTTCTGTGCACTGCACAACGTTGAGGCCAAGGAGAAGGGAGAGGTGATGGCGGTGGAAGGGCACGGCAAGGCTCTGAAGGCTGTCAACCTCGATGAACCGCGCATTCAAGTCCACCTCGAACGTGTGGGCGGCGAGCAGGAGCAGCAGTGGTACCTGGACTCCGGCGCCAGCAACCATATGACGGGCTCCAAGGAAGCCTTCTCTGAGCTTGACGGCAACATGACCTGCACGGTGAAGTTCGGTGACGGCTCAAGGGTGGTGATCCGAGGGTGCAAAACCATCATCTTCAGGTGCCAGAACGGCGAGCACCGCGCGCTAATGGATGTATATTATATCACGTAGCTGCGTTCAAGCAACATCAGCATTGGTCAGCTAGATGAGTGCGGCAGCGAGGTACTGATCAAGGATGGCGTCCTCAGGATCAGGGACCGGGAGCAGCAGCTTCTTGCCAAGGTGAAGAGGTTCCGGAACCGGTTGTACCTGCTCGACTTGAAGGTGGAGCAGCCCATCTGCTTGGTTGCACGGCACACGGAGGAGCCATGGCTGTGGCATGCCCGGTATGGCCATCTTAGCTTCGACGCTCTTGGTCGGCTGGAGAAGATGGTGACTGGGCTGCCTCATATCGAGCACGCAGGCGAGCTATGTGACAGTTGCCTAGTCAGAAAGCAAAGGGCTGTCGTTCCCGAAGACGGCGAAGTACCGCGCGGCAGAGGCCCTCGAGCTGGTACATGGTGACCTCTGCGGGCCGATCACGCCAGCGACGCACAGTGGGCGTAAATACTTCATCTTGCTAGTGGATGACTGCAGCCGGTTCATGTGGCTACAGCTTCTGGCCAGCAAGACCGAGGCAGCGAAAGCGGTCAAGAAGTTGAGGCGCACGCGGAGGCGAAAAGCGGCAAGAAGTTGTGCGTGCTGCGGACTGATCGCGGCGGCGAATTCACTTTGGTGGAGTTCGCTGCGTATTGCGTGGATCAGGGTGTGGTGCGACACCACACCACGCCATACTCGCCACAGCAGAATGGCGTGGTGGAACGGCGGAACCAGATGGTGGTTAGCATGGCTCGATCCATGACGAAGGCCAAAAGCATGCCGGCAAAGTTTTGGGGAGAGGCAGTGACCACGGCGGTGTTCACCCTCAACCGTGCGCCCACCAAGGCCCTGAAGGGCAAGACACCGTTCGAGGCTTCGCATGGATGTAAGTCGAATGTGTCCTTCCTTAGGATATTTGGCTGTATCGGCCATGTGAAGAACACCAAGCCTCACCTCGGCAAGCTGGAAGACAGGAGCACGCCGATGGTGCTCCTAGGCTACGAGGAGGGCACCAAGGCATACCGGCTCTACGACCCACACGGAGGCAAGGTGGTTGTCTCACACGACGTCGTGTTCAACGAGAAGGTGGCCTGGGACTGGGACAGTCCGGGCACGAGGGAAGCTGACGGCTTCACCAGCACCTTCGTCGTCGAGCACTTGGTCATCCACGGTGGTGGAGACGCTGGAAAGGAGGTGCCAACCACTACAGCAACAGAGCCGAGCACTCCTAGGGCGGTGCCGAGCACTCCGGGAGGGGTGCCGAGCACTCTAGGAGTGGTGCCGAGCGATCCCGCAGTGGTGCCGACCACTCCATGACGAGTGTCGAATGCTCCCGTAGCGGAGCCGAGAGGTCTTGCAATGGTGCCATCCACTCCAAGACTGGTGCCGAGCACTCCTGCAATGGTGCCAACCACTCTAGGACTAGAGTGGTGACGAGCGGTACAGGAGCAGACGAGGTGCCGAGCACTCCAGGTATTGTGCCGACCACTCTGGCGGAACAAGGGACTTCATCGACGCCGATCGAGTTCGCCTCTCCTCCAAGCGAAATCACCGAGTTCGTGGATGCCTTCCACGACGGTGAGGAGGTGCGGTTCCGCTGGACGACATCGTCGGCGACATAGGGTCCTCAGGCCTGACGGGTCGGCCGCTCAATGACCCAGAACTGCTTCCCGTCAGTGCAGAGGAACCACCCACGTTCGCACTGACCGAGCGTGATGCAAATTGGCGACGGGCGATGCTGGAGGAGATGAAGACGATCGAGGAAAACGAGACTTGGGAGCTCGTCGATCCACCTCCAGGATGCCATCTGATCGGCCTAAAGTGGGTGTACAAGGTCAAGCGGGACGAGCGTGGCGCCATTATCAAGCACAAGGCGCGCCTCATCGCCCGAGGCTTTGTCCAGCATGAGGGCATCAACTTCGAGGAAGTCTTTGCGCCGGTAGCGCGCATGGAGTCTATCCGACTGCTGCTGGCTTTGGCAGCAGCAAAGGACTGGCATGTCCATCACCTGGACATAAAATCGACCTTCCTTAACGGCGAGCTGGCGGAGACGGTCTTTGTCAGACAACCTCCGGGTTTCACCGTCAAGGGAGTGGAGCACAAGGTGCTCCGACTGTGCAAGGCGCTCTACGGGCTGTGACAGGCCCCGCGAGCGTGGAACGCCAAGCTTGACACCACGCTGGGTGAGCTTGGATTCACGCGGTATGTGGACGACTTGATCGTCACCGGCGCACGTGCGGAGGACATCGACAGCTTCAAGCGCGAGATGGCGGCTCGTTTTCGAATGAGCGATCTCGGCGCGCTCTCCTACTACCTCGGCATCGAGGTGAGACAGGGACAGGAGGCGCTCACGCTCGGTTAGAGCGCGTACGCCTCGAAGCTGTTGGAGCGGAGCGGTATGGCTGAGTGCAAGCCATGCGTGACTCCGATGGAGGAGCGGCTGAAGCTGACGAAGGCCAGTACCGCGGCGAAGGTAGATGCAACACTCTACCGGAGCATCATCGATGGTCTGCGCTACCTAGTCCACACGAGGCCGGACATTGCGTTCGTCGTGGGCTACATTAGCCGCTTCATGGAGGATCCCCGAGAGGATCACTGGGCCATGGTGAAGCGGCTGCGACGCTACGTCAAGGGGACGGTGGATCAGGTGATCATCTTCCCCAAGACCAGCGAAAGTGGGCTGCAGCTCACTGTGTTCAGCGATGCAGACATGGCGAGGGACATCGACGGACAGCGGAGCACCTTTGGCATGCTCGTCTTTCTCGGGTCGGCTCCAATCTCATGGTTGTCGCTGAAACAGAAGGTGGTGGCGTTGTCCACGTGCGAGGCAGAGTACGTGGTGGCGGCCACAGCGGCGTGCCAAGCTGTGTGGCTGCGCCGGCTGCTAGGCGAGCTAACCGGTGTGGAAGCTCACCCACCAGCACTGATGGTGGACAACCAGCCCGCCAACGCCCTCGCGAAGAATCCGATTCTCCACGACCGGAGCAAGCACATCGACGTCAAGTTCCACTTCCTCAGGGACTATGTCGATGGAGGGCAGTTCGTCATCGAGTTTGTCGAAACTAGTCGGCAACTCGCAGGCATCCTCACCAAGCCGCTCGGCTGTCTTCGGTTCACGGAGCTAAAGAAGATGATCGGCATGATGGAGGTTCTAGGTTTAGCAGCAGGATTAGGGGAAGAATTGTAAAGTAATCTGCTGCTCTCCCTCTGTACGCGCGGCAGGGGCAGGCGCTGAAAGGGCTCCCCTGCTGCTGCACTGTAGCCGCAGCAGGGGCAGACGCCGAAAGGCTCCACTGCCGTACTGTAGCCACAACAGGGGCAGGCGCCAAAGTCAGCCCTGCTGTCACATGTAGTCACTGTAGTAGCATGGCAGTCTGGCATATCTGTGTACTAGAATTAGATGGGTAGAGTTGTATATATAGCTTTCCACTGCAACTCAGTGAAGAGCAGTTCAGTTTGCCACATCCAGAAGCAGAGCTTTCGGCCAGCGTTGGGCTTGTGCTGTGTGTGTGAGCTGTTCTCAATATCTTCTTCTACCTCTAGCCATAGTGAGTGAGTGTGCTGATAAGCTTACTACTTACATGTGCAGGGCAACCGAGGGACCAACAGTTCCAAGCTCTATGGAGACGTTAGTCATGTATTTAGAGCAGAGATATAAAAGCATACCTTTGTACATCACAGAGAATGGTGGGTTACTAGGTTTGGTAAAATCTACATATTAGCTACAAAACATAAGCCTTTGTACAGAACAATGATTCACTTGTATGCATCTTTATTTATAGTACACTTGTAGTACACTGGTACCATAATAATATCTGTATGGACCTCTTGATCTCCCTTTTTGGTCTTTCAGGTTATGCCCAAAAGGGCAATAGCAGCACCACAGCAGAAGAATCAATTATTGATACCGAAAGGTCAAGTTACATTCATGACTACCTCACTTACCTGAGCTTTGCAATAAGGTTGTTGCATTCCTCAATTATCTTTTCATGAAAACTGCTCCGCAGCCAGGTAATAGCAAAACTTTGCTACTTCTGTGCAGGAAAGGAGCAGATGTGAGAGGTTATTTTGTGTGGTCTTTGATGGATACCTTCGAATGGAACGCTGGTTACACCATAAAGTATGGTCTTTGTCATGTGGATTTCAAGCCACTAAAGCGAACACCAAAACTGTCTGCTAAATGGTACAGCAAGTTTATCAAGGACTATGAACAGATAGAGATGGCCTCTGAAGAATCACCTAATCATATGGTTTCCTAGCACAGAAATACAGAATTCTCAAAGTCCATGTTTGTACATTACTCAGTGATTTAATAATGATGTCTACACAGGAAATTATTTGGTAAATTTCCTCATGCCCATGTATGCCAGTGTCATATAGGAATAGCTTGGGAGACGAGAAGATCTCTCGAAGATGAAGCTCGACTACAAGCGTATAGGATTTCTGAAAACAAGTGATCTGTTTTTCTCTCCTGGGTTGATTCTTGTGTTTAGTGGTTCTTTGTTTTTCTTCTTGTTCTAGCCTCGCTATAGATTAGCTGAAGTGTTTTCCGTTTGTTTTGCTCAGTGTTTGTTTTTTGTGTATTAATAAAATATAACAGTGGGGGCTTCCCCTGCTGTTTTCCTGGTTCAAAAAAAACAATATGACAGAATCATGAATGATGCAAAGTGTAAGCATTGAATCCACGCATCAAAGTAATCAGCAATTGCTTGCACAATCCAGTATACATACATATTGTCCCTAGAAGAATGGAAGTACTCGATGAAACAGTACCTCTGCATATGGCATTTGATACAGAAAAGACATGAATTCATTATTTTGTTGATCAAATCATTCTTTCATAAATCTCCTCTGAAGCTTTTGCAATGAAGTCCTCATTCAAAGTTATAAATTATAGTAAATAGCGTAAATCAAGACACTAATTCTATATTGTTACCAAGGTTTCTGAAGCTATTTCTTAAGAATGGCATATAACATATTACATATACCCAAACACTCTAGATGCAAAAGTTCTTCCTCAGGGTACTAAAGTGAACTAATATATATCATGCCATTCATATGAAAAATTGTACATTAGATTTTTAACTGAAATGCTAGATTTTTCACTAGCAAATATATTTGCCATCGACATATATCATGTGAAAGCCAACTAAAGCTTTTTGGCTGCAGAAAGAACTGCATCTACTTGCAGCAACAACTCTTCATTGCCACCAAGAAGGCTAGAACTATTCTGTCTGTGTGGGAGTAGCAGGGGGAGATGAAGATGACATAGGTGTAGTCTTCACAATTGTTGCTGAAGGTTCCCTTAGAGACTTTGTCCCCTTATCATCACTGACTTCCGTTGCAGCTCTTTCCTTAGCCTTTTGGGCTCTTTGTACTACTTCCTCCTATATGTATCATATATATACATAAGAGAATTCAGTAGCATGTGGCGTAGAGTCAGGGTTACAGAGAAGAAAAAAATGAAGAAATCCGAAATGGAAATTTTTCACTATATGTAAGGCAGCTATCAATAATGACGCAAAACAGTTGATCTATGTGATATCTCCAAACAAACCCATCAAACTTTACCTTGGGCATCTGGACTATATAGTTCCCCAAAATGAATGCAGAACCATTTCCCTTCTGCAAATTTTCAGGACATGTTTAACACTTTAACTACACCTAACCCAGGGCACATATCTACTTCTACAATTGGTAGGCTATTACACTTACGCCCATTTTGCAGTTCAATGCTCATTCCTTGTTGAATGTCTTTCGTTTTATAAATTTTGGTATTGGAAAACTAAAATACATGTAAGTTAAACACGGATGATATCACATCATCGATATGTCATCAATTACTAAAGAGCTCATTGGAGAATTGACATGGAAAACGAAATACTGTGAGTGCTCATCTGGAGCAAGGACCGTGTGGCGCAGTACCTGGAACTCCTGCACCTGCTTCTGCTGCTCGGCCTGCCACTGCCCGACGACGCTGAACACCTCGCCCACCACCGACTCGACCCGCTCCGTGAGCGCCTCCGCGAAGGCCTTCCCGAGGAAGAAGGCGTCGAGGACGGCCTTGCTCTCGTTGTCATCTGCGCGACGACACCAGCAAGAGCACGGAGTAAAGCCCAAGCTCCAATCGGACTGCCCTTCTGCTCCCCACCCCACGTCAGAGAGGTTACCTGGTTTCGGCTCAGGGCGCGTGCCCCGCCGCCGCCGCTACTCCGGGCCGCGAATCTGGGAAGCCTTCTGAGGGAAGAGGGGACGCGCGACGAGGGCTGAAGCGGGGAAGGGGACGCAGCAGACGGGCGAGATGGACGCAGCAGGTGGCGCCATGGTTCTCGCCTTCTCTTCTTCTTCGGGTGTGTGCTTCCGGGGGTCTCGCAGCAGTTGGGACCGTGGGAGTTGGGTGCTCCACGCCCCGGCGGATGCGAGGCCGAGGATTAGGGGCGGTTCACCGGTTGCGGATCTCTGAGTGAGGTCACGCACACGTCATGGGGGAGCTGGACGGTTTGGTTGGTCACGACCACCGCGCTAACGATCCACAACGGCTGAGCCCAGCCGCTGACACGCTTCCAACAGGACTGGCTGGCCCTCGATGGCTCGACCACACGCGGCTTTAAGCGCCCAAGCGCTCGAGAAAGGCCCATGTGCCAACACCCCGAATTCTTCCGTCCGCCCTCCGCGAGGTGCGATCTCCTGCCATCCCGCTTGAGCGGCCCACGGCCCACGCGCTCACTCGCGCAGCACCATCGGCTCCAGTCGCCTTGCGGGCGTGAACCGCCGAGCGCCGGCGCTCAACGGCGGTCGGCAGCCTTGCGCGTGCCTCCCTGCTCCCGTCACTTATACGCAGCCGCGGCGAGTTGGCGCCCTGCCTCCACGCCCGATGCAGCGCCGTGTGGTGGTCACAGTCCATGGTGCACAGCGAGCTCAAGGGCTCCTCGCCCCTCTAGAGCGAAACAGGAGGAGAGAGCATGGGCGTGTAATACCAGCGGACGCCGTCGACGTGAGCACACAGAGGATCGCCGGAATCGGCCGAGACGCAGAGGAATCTTCCTCGCGCTCACTGTATTAGATAATAGGTTTTTCGATGTTTCATTACAGGCTACAGCTCAGAATAAAAGGGCTCTTGGCCACTGACCGCGACCAGTCCACATGTCATACTAAGCGATTACATAAATAGCTCAAATACGCCTTGTCTCAACTAATACGCCTACTTCTTCCCGACGCTTGGTGCCTAGGGTATGACAACTCCCCCCGCTGGAGACTCTGCCCCCAAACAGGTGCTTCTGGAAAACGAAGCTTGATGACGCTGTAGTCTTCCCATGTAGCTGATGACGCTGGTAAACCTGTCCAAGTTACGAGCACCTGTGTCACAGCATTGTTACCTTTTCTTGCCAACCAGCGTTCGAGGATCTAAGAAGGTTGTGCTGCTGAAGCATGAAGATCAGTCAGCATTGGAAGCTTTGAGAAGATTGGTGTGTAATCAGGGTGAAACTGTTTCAGTTGTGAGACATGAAACACCGGATGGATCTGACTCTCATTTGGAAGTTCCAGGCAATAAGCCACGGTACCAATTCTTTCCAAGATCTTGTATGGGCCAAAGAACTTGTTGGAGAGCTTCGGGCAGGGATGGTTGGAGCTTAAGCAATACCTGGTCCCCGACAAAAAATTCAATATTAGTTCTGTTCTTGTCAGCAAAAACTTTCATTCTGTTATGTGCTTGTTCCAATCTTTGCTTCGGCATCTGCAGATGCAATTCTCTATGCTCAATTACTTCACTGACTGTTGGGGAAGTGGCAGCAGGAATGTGGATACTTGTTCCCAGGTTAGGATCTAGCCATAGAGGGCCTTAAAAGGTGAGCAACCAATTGAACTGTGATATGATGAATTGTACCATAGCTCAGCTAATGGTAACCATGTTTTCCATGTCTTGGGTGAGTCTTGGACTGAACATCTGAGGTACATCTCCAGGCATTGGTTCACCCTCTCTGTCTGTCCATCAGACTGAGGGTGGTATGCTGTGCTCAATGCCAAAGTGACCTTGTATAACTTGAACAATTCTTTCTAGAAGTTGCTCACAAAGACTGTGTCTCTGTCAGACACAATTGTGGAGGGCATGCCATGTAATTTGACCACATGATCTAGGAAGAGGTGAGCAATTGTGCTGGCAGTGTAAGGGTGTCTGACTGGAATGAAATGAGCAAATTTAGTTAATCTGTCTACCACAACCAGTATAACTGTGTGTCCCTCTGATTTAGGTAAAGCTTCAATGAAATCCATGGAAAGATCCTTCCAAACTCCAGCGGGAATTGGCAGTGGTTGGAGGAGGCCAAAGGGGTGTTGATGAGAATGCTTGTTGTGTTGGCAAATACCACACTGTTTGACAAAACTATCCACATCAACCTTCATTCCTTTCCAAGAAAACTGGGATTTAAGTCTTTGGTAAGTCCCTTTAACTCTTGAGTGGCCCCCAATTGGGCTTGAGTGACAAGCTGCTATTAGTTTGGTTTGTAGGGCTGTGTTGGCACCAATCCAGAGCCTGTTCTTGTATCTGATAAGCCCTTGCTGCAGACTGTACCCTTTGTCATCAGGACTACTAATGGAGAGCTGAGCCAGCAATTGTTGAGCATGAGAATCTATGGCATAAGAGTTTAACACTTCCTGGACACACTGTGGCTGAACAACTGAAACGGCTTGCACAGCCATGAGGTGTGCCACCCTGGACAAGGCATCAGCTGCCAAGTTGTCTTTGCCTTGCCTGTAAACAATTTTGAATTGGAGGCCCATTAGTCTTGTCATTGCTTTCCTCTTCATTTCAGAGTGCAGATTTTGCTCCTTCAAGTATTCCAATGATTTGTGGTCGGTTTGTATGAGGAACTCTTGCCCTTGTAGGTAGGGGCGCCATTTTTCCACTGCCATGATTAGGGCTAAGAATTTTTTTTTGTAGATTGATAGTTTCCTGTGCTTTTCCCCTAAAGCCTTACTGAGGTAGGCAATAAGTTGCCCTCCTTGCATGAGCACTGCTCCTATTCCATCTAGACAAGCATCAGTCTCCACTGTGAACTGATTCTGGAAGTTAGGTAATGCCAGTACTGGAGTGGTTGTCATAGCTGTTTTCAAAGCATCAAAAGCTTGTTGTGATGGAGCTGACCATTGGAATGTTTTGAGTTTGAGCAATTGTGTGAGTGGTTTAGCAATAATACCATAAATGTTTCACAAATTTCCTGTAATAGCCAGTGAGACCCAAGAAAGCTCTGAGTTCTATCATACTAGTAGGTGTTGGCCACTGCAACATTGCCTGAATCTTAGAGTTGTCAGTTGCTACTCCTTTATCAGAGATGATGTGCCCTAAGTACTCAAGGCTTTGTTGAGCAAAAGAGCATTTGGATGCCTTTAGGTATAGCTTGTTGACCCTCAGAACTTCAAGGACTTGCTGCAAGTGTATGAGATGGTCTTCTAGAGAATTGCTGTAAATCAGAATGTCATCTAAGAATACCATGACAAATTTCCTGAGAAAAGGGTGAAGCACTTGATTCATGATGCACTGGAATGTTGTTGGGGCATTAGTCAGGCCAAATGGCATCACTTTGAACTGATAATGGCCATGATGTGTTTTAAATGTTGTCTTGTACTCATCTTCAGGCAGACCTGGTGATACCCAGATCTCATGTCTTATTTAGTGAAGAATTTGGCTCCATGCAGTTCATCCAGATCTCATCAATGATAGGCATTGGAAACCTGTTCTTAATGGTCATTGTGTTTAACTTTCTATAATCCACACAAAATCTCCAGCTTTCATCCTTCTTTTTGACTAAGAGAACAGGGGATGCAAAAGGGCTATGACTGTGGCATATTAACCCATTATCCAATAACTCCTTTACTCGTCTTTCTATTTCTGTCTTATGCTATGGAGAGTAATGATAAGGTCTAGAGTTAATTGGTACTGCATCAGGAGTGAGTGGTATGGCATGGTTATAACTTCTTGCTAGTGGAAGCTATTTGGGATCCTGGAAAACATCTGCATACTGAGTTAACAGAAGCTGTAAGCTATCTAGAACAGTGCTACTGTGGTTGACTTGATGTTGATTGGCATGAGCTGCTACCAACACCACAAAACCCCAAATGTCATTGCCTTTGGAGCTCTTGTAAACTTGTTTTGCTGTCATTGGTGTGATCTCTGGACTTGGTGATGGAATGCCCTTGAGTAAAATACTAGTGCCCTGATGCTGGAATTGGAGGGTTTTGGCTTGCCAATCATGAGTCATTGGATTGTACTGTTTCATCCAGTCATAGCCCAAAATGGCGTCATATGGTAACATATCAAGCACAATCATGTCCTTTGAAAAGGAATGTCCCTGGATATACCAAGTTAGATTTTTGACCCGTCTGCATGTTGTCAGCCATTAACCATTGGCCATCTTCACCTTTTGCACTGGAATAGGAGAAATGGTCAATTTGATCAAGTTGGCAAACTGAGAGCTCACAAAACTGTGGGAACTTCTTGTGTCCACCAGTATCAGCATAGTCTTGTTCTTGACAGTTGCTTTCAGCTTGATGGAATCAGTAGCTTCTGCACCTGAAATAGCATTCAAAGAGAGCTGACAAAAATCTTCAGTGATTAGGTCTTCTATTGCCATCTCATTTAATGCTTCTTCATTGATCTCTCTGTCCAAGTCGTTCAGGGCTAAGGCATGTAACTGTGGCTTGTTTTTCTTGGTGTAGACCTCAAGGTGGCTTGGCTCAAATTTGTCTCCACAATGAAAACACAAATTGTTGGCCTTTCTATAATCTCTTAGTTGTCTATCCCTCCATAACGTGACATATGTTGGTGGCTGCTTGACCTTAGGTCTCTGTGTGTTGGGGTTTGTTGGATGGATTATGGCGCTAAAATTTCTGTTTACTCCTATCCAGCACTTTCTATTGTATCTTGGCAATGAGGGCAGCCCTGTCAACAATCAGTGGAACCAGCAACATATTGTGTAGCAAAGTACAACTCATCATGCTTGGCACTGTGCATTGTGATCTTGTACTGTAGTGCATGGAATTGGGCTGTATAATCCTCTACTATTCTAGTTTGCCTCAAAGCAATCAGATCTGCTAGAGCAGTTCTATAGTCATCATTTCCAAACTTGGACTGAATGTCCTGGCAAAAAGTTTGCCAATTGACAGTAGGAGTACTCAGCTTGTATGCTTCCCACCACATTGCAGCATTGTCTTGTAAATACATTGTTGCAGCAGTAACCCATAAACTCTCAGGGATGGAGTACATGGTGAAGTAGTTGTTGCATTTATTGATCCATATCTTAGGGTGGTCACCAGAAAATGTGGGAAAT